AGAAAGGAAAGAGGGGGGAGGGGGGGGGGAAGGCAGAGTGGGAAGGGAGGGGAAACAAAAAAGTGACAGAGGCTGTATAGTACACTTACAGAAATCCCAGCCAGACACTAGCTGAGTGCAATTAGGTTAAGTTCTGAATTTCATATTAAAATGGAGAAAAGATTGCTTTTATCTTTCAGGGTTGAAAGGAAAGGCTATGTGTGCTCATGTTGTTTAGAGGATCTGGTATGCAATTATTATGGCTTGTGTCTAGATCCCTTCCCACTAAAGCCTCATGTGGTCATAGGTATGGCTTTTCAAAGGTAGCTGGACCTAGAGTGTATGTTCCTGGGATCAAGAATGGTACACGAAGATTGATTCGTGTTGTGATTACGATTAAGGATGCCCCACCCTGAGTGTGAGTGGGTATCTTGAATAAGATATAAGGGGAAGGTTCACTGCTTGTTGCTTGCTGCTTGTCACTTTGCTTTATGCTTACTACTTTGCTGTTTTCTTGCCTTCTACCTGCCATAAATTGTTTCCTCCTCTGCAATGACCCTCTGCCAAGCCATCCTGCCTTGGAGGCAGCCAACTAAGGACTGAGACCTCCACAAACTGTGAGCCGAATAAACCTTTCCTCCTTAAACCTTGAGTGTCGGGTATTTTATCTCAGCAACAAGAAAAATACAACTAAGCAATCATATTCAATTTCTCTCTTCTTTGTTCAAAATCAATTATAGAATTAATTAAGTCCACAAGGGTGCAGGCTACCAAATTTAAACTTTGTCTCCTTTTTTCTTAAGCCCAGACAGAGTCAGCCTATGTTTTTACCTATCTTGCAGAATAAAGTAGGAAGGAAAAAGGTATTTTCTGACAAGAGATAGAAGGCATGAACGGTCGGCATTATTACAGGAGTTACTGAGAGAAAGGAACGTAGCTAAGGAGCAAAGAGTCCCTCCCTTACCTGATCAAACAGCTGCTTGCCAGTGGTGTTGGGCTGGATGGCAAACTCCAGCTCTGCATCCATGGTGGTCACACGCACACTGATCTAGGATAAGGATCAAAGAAGGCAGGTTAGTCTTCTAGCCCTGTGCTTGGCAGAGTCTGGGACAAGTGTTCAACTACTGAGGAAGGAAACTGGATGCAAAGAACTTGAGCAACTTAGATATTGGTGGAATGAAAGGGGGAACCACTGACACAAACAAGCCATAGCCCAGTTCCTGCTCTAAATCACTTTGTTGAAAAAAAAAAGACACAGCCACAGAGCAATGCTTACCAAGGGGCAAATAAGAATGCAAATCAGCCTACTAACCAAAAGGAAGAAAATATCAACTATACTTCTTCCATGAAGTGTTCTCATTTACATCAGCTAGCCCCAGCCCATAGCATACTCTTATCTCCAGCCTGATTATTGATAGCACTGGTAGATAACTGCAGGGACAAGAGAAGGACAAAGAATACTGTACCTGGTTCTCAGCCTAGCATTACAACTGGCTCAAACTACAATCTTAGTTACTCCTATCCCGTTCCTAGGCCTTAGTTTCTCTTGTCTGTGAAAGGGCAGAAATGAAATGGGACAGTTGGTTAAACCAGGTGATCTCCAAGTATCTCTTCAGTGCTGATGTCCATGGTTGTATATACTGCCTTGCATCGTTAACACTTCTTATATCTATGTCTCAGTAGTCTCCCTAGGCACTCAGAGGAAGGGAGCCTTAGCAGAGGTGTGTGGGCAACACAGGGGTGTTATCAAAGTCAAGTCAATAGAGAAACAGAAACAAAGGGAGATCCAGACCAAAATAACATGTAGCAAAACACATGATTTCTTCACAGGCACTAGAAAATGCAGTGTTTCATAAGTTAAATTTCCTAACCTAACTTAATGATAGTTGAAATTTCATTATTAGAGACTTGTTCCTTTGGCTGAAAACTTGGTAGTGATGGCAGTAGTAGTGACAACAATAAGCAGCAGCTTCCATTCATACAGACTCATTCACTACTCACTAGGTACTTCACATGCACTTTCCCATTTAAAATTATCAATCACCCCGTGAAGGAGAAAGTATTTTCTAGGATGCTAATATACTATTTACAATACGACTGAGGAAAAGACTAAATACAGAACTGTCAAAGATGTGAATCTCTGTGCAATATTAAGCCTTGTCAGTCTTTTAACTTTGGGCCCTGTCCTCAGCACAGGGTTCAGGTAGCAGAGAAAAGGGGGCCAGAAAGCCTTTTGTTTTGGTACCAGAGATTGAACGCTGCTCTGGTCCTTGCAGCTGCAAGGCACATGGCGGAACCACTAAGCGAAATCCCAGGCCCCAGACAGCCATTCTGCCAGCTACACAATTCTGATGAATACCAGGCCTAGCCCAGGGAATGACTCTTAAATAAATCTCACCAGGGATCTAGGGAGGAAATCTATTTCAGGATTGACAATGAGACAGGAAAGGCCCTGAAGGCAAGAATAAGTAAGGCAAGTACCCCGTGGGAGCAAGACAAGGTTAGCCACCCTGACTTGATGATACCCTTATTTTCTTGCCAATTGAGTGATTTGTAGAAAGGACCCTCACAAAGTACCCTAACTTTATGGGATTTTAGGGACATCATTACATATCCAGCTTCAAATTACCCTTGAACTGGGTCAGCGATGACCTCAAAGCACTAATGACTGAGGGGACAACAGAGACAGTGGATTTTCTAGTATACTGTTTTTCATTCTCATCTCAAGGTTTGCATCTATCTTTGAATTACCTCTCTAGTACCAAGGCTCAGTGGATACTCACAAAATGTTGGCTATATGAATAGGTATCAAATGAGGAGATACAGGAAATACATATAGCATAGTATACACATAAAAGACATGAAGACATTTTGCATCTTGACCCTTTTAAGCCATGGAACCTTCTTGGCAGTCTGATGAAGCAAATGGACCCCTTCTCAGAATATGTATAAATGTATGAAATGAAGGAAATGTAAAGAAAACAATTACACTGAAATAAGATATCAAAATTTAATAATATGTGTTTATTAAGCAATTGCCTTATCACCGGATCTTATTAATACTTCTATAATTTCAAATTTGTATTGAATATAATATTTGAGAAATCTATAATACTATATTATGACATAAAAATATCTTAGATTTCCATTGGTGACAAAGTCATAGGCACCGCTACTACTATTACATTTATTTTTTTAGCCCACATTTACACTTGAAAAAGAAGCTAAATTATAAGCTAGAAGTTAGTGAAAACAAACACAGGTGTCACTCAGTATCCACGTGGGACTGGATCCAGGAACTCTGTATATACAATACCAAACTCTATTGATTCTCGAGTCTCTTACATAAAATGATATAGTATTTGCATATAATCTATACACATCCTCCTATGTACTTTAAAGTATCTTTAGATGACTTATAATACCTAATGATGCTATGTAAGTAGTTGTTATATGACTAAAGGAATAATGACATGAAAAAAAAGTTTGCACATTTTCAGTGCAGATGCAATATTTCCCAAATATTTTTGCACCACAGTTGGTTGAACCTACATATGCAGAACCCAAATATACAGAAAGCCAACTGCATATAATTTTTCCATTCAAGTTCATAGATTCTTCCTATTTCAAATTCTACCCATAGAACTCATAGAGGTCCACCAGTTTCATGTTAAAAGAGTCTCACATAAATTTATTTCACTTCACCCAATATTAACAGAATACAATATTTAAGTAACTATGGTTGGAATAAAGATGCAGTACCATTCCCTGACCACAAAATAATCACTGAATAACTGGAAACTATAATGTACAAGGGAGACCCTGAGAAATGCCACAGCAGAAGAGCAGAGAAATTTTTGTGGAAATTAGGAATCACGATTCAAAATATTTGCACTGGACTCTAATGACAGGGTAGATTTTGAAAAAGGGAGACGGTAGAAGTAACGGGAAGAGTACCCAGATGTTTCAGGTAAAGAAAAACAATGCATGTGATGGCCTAGGCCCTAGCAGGAGGCAGGATGAAGTTGGCCAATTTGGAAGTATATATGCCTACTCCATAGGGAATAAGGTTTTCAGAGTGAAGAGGGAACAGAGAGATTGAGAAGGTAATTGAAGGGACTTGAAGACTACACTAGAAAGCAGGTCTAATTCCTTTTGGCAGAGGCCAGCATACAAATTCTGAGCAGATGTGGGAGTAGAAGAAGAACTGGCCTCTTTAGAAGAAAATGACTGGAGAAGAACTGAGAAAAGGTGTGTAACTCCAGCAAAAAAAATTCCATAACCTAGAAGTTCCCTTTAATTCATACTATTGAAAAGAATATAGGGAAGTAAGCCAGCAGCATTTCTTGCAGATCATGTCAATTGAAGGTCAGGTCAATCTAGCATCTTCAGGGCACTGACCAAGGGTGAAGCCCAGTGCCGGCCCATAGTAGGCAACAAATATTTGTTAAGGAAATGTTTTAAATATATTTGGTAAAGAGGGGTCTAGGAATAAGTGTGTTAGAGAAGCCAGCGCTGGCTATGCTTCCTTGTTCCTAGATATATATCATTAACCCTGAATAAAGGCTCCCTAAAATCTAGAGGTGTCCAGCTCAAACACAACTAGAACTTATTTCTCTTGAATTCCTACTCAGGGTTTCTGTCACTCCACTATGGTCCTGGCTGCTTCTCTGGGGACAGCAGCCTAAGATTTCCTGAATTCTATTGTGGAAATAGGACAGGTATTTAAAAATTAGGAGGAAAAAACACAAAGGAACTTCCATATTTGCTATCACTTAACTCAAAAGAAAATATGAGCCATAAGAACAAGTCCATGGGTCCGTACCCTCCTGCTTTGTGTGTGTCAGAAGTGTGTGTAAGTGGTAGAGGGATAGGGGTAATAACAACCTTGGCCCAAAGTTGATGGGTAGGGTAGGAGGCCTGATCAAAAGTCTAGAAGAATTATTCTCAGAAGAATCTGGGATCCAAATTGTACAAGATGAGCTGCAGGCCGAGATCCACTGTCATACAGGGCCCCCTGCATACTCACCTTTTTGGGCCTAGCCTCTGCTTTCCGGGGTGAAGTTGGTAGTTTCATTGAGACAAAAATCTGAAAATGAAGCCTCCAAATTCAGCAGAAACTTCCCAGGCAGGCCTTTAGCTTGGCAAGAGTAGAGGGGCTGATCTGGGCAATGTGGCATTTCAAGATATAGTCCCCACCAGAGAACTCGTTATATAGCTAAATCCCTGCCTTAGCCTAAGGGCAAAGACTATGTCATGAAGGGTTTAAGGAACAACAAAGAAATGTCTGGGTATGCACAGGGGAGTTGTCATCTTTTTACATACAATTGCCCTCACACCTCTAGTCCAAAAACAGACACTTCTCACACCAAGCTTTTCTTCGAGCATTAACAAACACATTGTGGTAGTCTACCATCCAAAGCCTTCAAAAAACTGGGATCTTGCTCACATCTTCATTAGGCTGACTAAGACACAAAAATGATTAGGATGGGGGCTAGAGATTTAGCTCAGTGGTTCCGGTGCCTGCCTTGCAAGCTCAACAGCCCAAGTTTGATCCCCGGTACCAAAAACAAAACAAAACAATAAAAAATTATTATGATGGATGCTACTCCTCTCTGCAGCAACAACTGGGACACTTTGTTCTATGGGCCTGGTTAGCTTTATAGAAGGGTCCTTCTCTTTCCCTAGAGCCAGGAGCACCCATGTGAGCAGTAGCCAAGCCACAGAAAAGGAGTCTGGAATTGATTTGCTCTCACTTGCCCAATATCACTGAACTACAAGATGGCTCCTCTCTGTAAAAAAAAAAAAAAAAAAAAAAAAAAAAAAAAAAAAAAGGTGGAAAAAGGAGAGAGGAAAAAAAGAGAA